CCGGGCTGCTTGTAAATTACTTTGTATAAACGCCTTCACATCGCCCGCTGCCCCATCTCTCTCCATGTGCATGTGGATAAACACAATTCTTTATCCTTCTAATTATATAAAGGTAGAAGAAGAGGAAGACACAGAATAATATTCTGGTGGACCTGTAGCCTGAATTCTGCCCTTCGTTGAGTACACACAATAGATCTTTGCCTCTGCAGAAGGATGGATTTACACTTTGGACAGAAGGACAAATGGGAAGCACTAAGTTTCTAACCGTCTCAGCCCTCAGCTCACTGCCTGCCTCACATCCAGCCCAGAGCCACCATTTATTAAGCACCTGCTGCATACCAGGCACTGTCCTCACACTTTTTTTAAAGAGTAGTTTTCGGTTCAGAAAAATAGAGCAGAATGTCCAGAGAGTTCCCATAGACCCCTACTCACATTCAGTTCCCTTGTTATTAACGTCTTGCATCAGCGTGATACGTTTATTACAATGGACAGGCCAGTGCTGCTCCATTAGTGTTAGCTAAAGTCCACATTGGCGTCCACTCAGTGTTGTGCAGTTCTGGGGGATTTTTTAATGACATGTATCCACCGTTACAGTATCCTATGGAAGTTTCACTGCCCTAAACTCCCTTGTGCTCCCCCTCTTCATCCCTCCCGCTCCACGTCCTCGGCAACCACTGATCTTTTTCCTGCCTCCGCAATTTTGCCTTTTCTACAGTGCCACAGGGTTGGAATCATACACTATGAAGCCTTTCAGACTGCCTTTTTTTCACTTAGCAGTATGCGTTCATATTTCCTCCATGCCTTTTCATGGCTTGAGAACTCATTTCTTCATATTCCCAAAGAATATTCCATTTTATGGATGTACCACAACTTGTTTATCCATTCACCTGCTGAAGAATGTCTTGGTTCTTTTTAAGTTTTGGCAATTGTTAGTAGAGTTGCTATGAACATTCATGTGTAGGTTTTTTTGTGGACATAAATTTCAACTCATTTGGGTAAATACCAGAGACAGAAATTGCTGGATCATATGATAAAAGGATGTTTCATTTTGGAAGAAATTGCCAAATTGTCTTCCAAAGTGGCTGGACCATTTGGCTTTCCCATCAGCAATGAATGAGGATTCCTGTTGCTCCACATACTTGCCAGCATTTGGTCTTGTCAGTGTTCCGGATTTTGGCCATTCTATTTGATGTGTAGTGATGTCTTCTTCTTGTTTTAATTTGCAGCTCCCTAATGACATATGATATTGAACATCTTTTCATATGCATATTTGCCATCTGTGTATCTTTTTTGGTGAGGTGTCTGTTCAGATCTTTTGCCCATTTTTTTAATTGGATTGTTCTCTTATTGTTGCCTTTTCAGAGTTCTTTATATACTGTGCATACCAAGTCCTTTATCAGATATGTGGTTTTCAAATACTTTCTCCCAGTCTGTGGCTTGTCTTTTCATTCTCTTAATGTTCTCACCCCTTTCATGCCTACGTTTTCTCGTCTAATCCTCCCAACATTCTGTGAACATGTAGTACTGAGCTATACAGCATTTTGCTAAGGAACCCAAGGCTGAGAGAGGTCAGAAGGTCAGTTGACTTGCTAAGTGATGGAGCTAAGCGTCGAACCCAGATCTGACCTATAGCTTCAGACCTCACATCACCAGAATATCCTACTTGCCGCAGGTTATCCCATATGGGAATAACTCTTGAGCATTTTGTACTAAAGTACCTCTCGCAGTCTCAGGAAATAGTCTCTACTGGGATGCCCTGCAGATCCCATCATGGTGACTTGCATCTAAGTGCCTGAACAGAGCACAGAATGTTTTCTACGATCTAACCCCCGCCGTCTCCTCTGCCTCTTCTCCCGCTGCTGGTCCCCTCCCACTCCATGTGCACAAGACGGGAAACTGTTTGCAGCTCCCCCAGGGTCTTTGCTCTTCTAAGAACTACGCTGTCACTTCTGCTGTTCTCTCTGATGGAAAGACCTCTCTGTCCAGTGGTCAATTCCTCATTCACATATCACTTAACAAAGCCCTCTATTCCCCACTGTCTAGACCTTGAAATTCCACTTCTGTGTACAGTCTATCTCCCCCACTACGCTGACAAGCCTTCTGAGCACTTTAAGAACACCTGCTTCATCCCTTCAACCAGCCTGTACACAGTAGGTGCTCAGGGCGTGTGTTCTTAATGAACGGATGAAGGGGTGATGCTGGCAGAGGCCATTATCTGGTGGTAAGAGGCGCCTCTCATCTTTAAGAATACTTAACTAAAATAAATAAGTTTGTTTCTTTTTGTTTCCTTAGTTAATCATGTTTGCTTTCAGATTTCAAATTTCATTTTGTATTAAAGGAATTCCCTTTCAACATTTTAAGCCAGCATCTCTGTTTCTGATGCTAGAGACCCCAGGGGCAAGCATAACAATAAATAAAAGAAATTTTTGAATCAATAAGTCATTAGTGAAACCAATGAGTGAAAACACATTATGCACTTTCACTTTTTTGAGGCTTACAGTTTTTGTAACCTGCTGGTAACAAGGCTGACGAGTCTGAGCAGCTCAGAGTCAGATGTGAGGCCTTGTGTGCATGCCTGCTTGGTGGACGTCCCCCAGAAAGTCCCACTGCCTGGGGCTAGAAGACTGCAGGAGCTGGGGACCAGCTATTTGCACAGACTCCAGGAGTAGTGCTTGGGAGATGCTAGAAGTCCAAGGACAGCACATCATGTGAATGGAGTGGGGAATCAGGGTCACATGGTTCTGGGGTAGAATCCCAGCTCTGCCGCTTGCAGGCCGGGTGACCTTGGAAACTTGCTTAACCTCTCAGAGCCCCAGGATCTTCATCTGTGAAATGGGAAGAATAAAAATACTACATCATCACGGTATGATTGTAATGATCTACAGAGCTCTTTGGAGGAATAAGGGATGGAGTGAGGTGATGTAAAATCTCTGGTGTCTACCATGAATTCCATGAAGATTAGCTTCAAACTCCTTCCCCACCTCACACCCCAGCCCCCACCCACCAAAAGGGCTGACTTAGACCTTCCACCTACTCCCTCTGGTTGCCTCCACTGAACTCTTCCCCACGGGGAATAAGAAAAGTGGCATCCAGCATATCTCAGAATCTAACACAGTGCCTGGCTCAGTGGGTAGTTTGAATTAATTACTTGGTTCATTAATTAATGGATATGAGGCAGTTTCCTGTCCATCCTTGGACCCATTCCTTGCCTTCTCCTGCTCCACCTTCTGCCATAGGGAATTGACCTCGGCAGGTTGCACTTCTCAGTCTCTCTTGTCAGCTGGCTTCTGGCTGGGTTTGGCCAATAATATGCATTGGTGGGGGATCGGAAGGCAGGAGAAGAGAAGCCAGGGTATTTCTGCCCCTCTGTCCTGATCGATCACCCACTTCTTTAGCAGTGAGGGAGACTCTTCCTTCCACCAGCTCCCACCAGAGAGGCCCACTGCAGCGCCAGTTTCCACAGGTGGTCCCCGCTCCTGAGCTCTGATACCCTCGCTTCCTCCCTCTCTCACATGGTCCCTGGGGAGGCAGTGTCTTCTTGCTGGTGTTTATCTCTGTAGAGTTACTTCACCCTCCTCTGTTTGACCTCTCAGCTCTTCCACCACCCAGGTAAGCACTTCTCTGTCATTAATTCCCTCTGCTGTGTACCCTTGAAGTGCTTTCTAGTATCCTGCTTAAAAAAGACCCCTCTTGGGAATCAGGAGTATCTGATCAGAGTTAAGAGAACCCCACCCTGCCAGGCTCCACCATCCCCTGGCCATGTGGCCAGTCAGTCCTTGGGAGCCTCAGTGTCCTCATTTGTAACCAAGGTTAACAGCACCCAGCCTGCTTCTCTCCCAGGATAACTGTGAGAGTCCAATGAGATAATGCATTCCTATATTCGCAGAGTGCTTACTGAGCACCTGCCTCATGTGGGTGCAGACGATGGAACAGGGAACAAGACAGATGATGTCCCCGTTCTTGGGGGATTCCAGCTAGTAGTAGTCGAAGTGCTTATAAACTGCCAAGTTCTGGATGTGTTAACAGGATGAGCTGACCCAACTTCCTTGGTCCCCATAGACCCTCGGGGATGCCCAAAGTTCTCCAGTCCTGCCCTAGAATAAAGTGGACTGGCCAGTGGATGCAGTGACATGCGGTGACAGCCAGCTGAGCCCTTCCCCGCACCAGTCCCAACCTGGGTGTTCTGTTGCGTGTGTCTGTTAGCGTGTCAGAGCTCACTTTAATTAATTGTAAAGGATTAGCCTGATCCTTCAGCTGTACTAGGTGGTTTTTCTTTTTGTAATGGTTTTTATTTGGTGTTATTTGAAGCAAGCGTGCCATTGACTAAAGCCTGCAAATCTTGTTTATGCCTAGATCGTGTTTGGAGTGGTATTCTCCGTGATACGATTTTTAGCTATTGATGACCTCTTCTATAATAATTTAGTCAGCTTCACTTGAATGATAGTATTGATAACAACATGTAGCCAACAATCTATTTGCAACAGTACTCCAAGAGGAAAAAGGAAAGCAGTATGTGCACACGTGGAAAATAGGTAAATTTGCTGGTTTTAAGCAGGCATGAAAATAGAGCGTATTAATTCTGATCCAACACTTCTCGTTTCCCTGGGTGTTTCCACGTGGTCTCTCCTGCATTGTCCTCTGGAGAAGGTATTTCTATCCCCATTTTAATGACAAAATCACTGCTATGTAAAGAAGTAGATGACTCTCCCTGGCAGGTAATGACAACATAAAAATCTGAAAGTCAGGAGGGAAAAAGAGAAGAGACGTAGACGGGTCCTTTTTGAAGCATAGTGATCTCCAGAACCTCAGCTTCCTCATCTGTAAATGGCGATAAAACCTGAGGGGGGTGGTAGGAGTCGAACAAGAGAGCGGGTATGTCAGTAGCATGGTGCCTGGTTTGCAGCGACTGAGAAGTGGTAGCTCTGAAGCAGGGCAGGGCCGGCTCCTCACCCCCAAGCCTCTTATCACCCAGCCCCTTGTCTTCTGCTCTCTTGCCGCAGATGACCATTCTCGAGTGAGGCTGCTGGTGCTGGATGGAGACCCACACTCCGACTACATCAACGCCAACTACATTGATGTAAGGGTCTCTGTGGGGCTGGGATGCAGGGCTCCGGGGTTGGCTGCGGCTGGCTCAAGGTCTGGGCCTGTCCCGATTTGCTCGCCTGGAAAGTGGCGCTCCCAGAACACATCCAGAGAGTCTGGCTCTTGCCTGATTTGTGTAATTAGTTCTAACCCAAGTTGATTGCCCATCTAAAGCTGCATCCTCTTTCAGGCCGGCTGGAGTAGCCTGCTCTGCGGGACCCCAGGACTGCCAGTCTTATTCATTCACCCATTGATTCATGTGTGTGTGTGTCTGTTTACCCATTCATTCATTCCTTTGAAGGTACGGCCATTTATGCAACAAAAACTTGAGAGTTCCTCCTGTATGTTAGATGCTATGGGAACCATAATGCTAAAACTGCCATGGTCTCTACCCTCTGTAACCTTAGCAGGAAGATAAGCCATGCACATCAATAATTCCAGGGCAAACTAGAACGTGGTGAGTGTCATAAGTTCAGATAAAATGCTCCAGGGATTCAGAGCGCAGTGGGGGGAAGTCACTCTTCCATCAGGAATGCAAAGTGTGATGTGAAGCAAAACTTCAAGCGCAGGTAGAATTTAAAATCAAAGAGGAGGAAGACGAGCCTCTGGCCAAAGAACAGCACAAGCCGAGATGCAGCACGGGGTGCCGAGCTGCTCAGTTTGAGGGGAGCAGAGCCTCTGTAATGGGAATAATGGAAAATGAGGTTGGAGCTGGATCAGTCAGGCTTTGTTTTGCAGGCAAGAGAAAGCTATTAAAAGGTTTTGATCAAGGAGGTGAATGGTTCAGAGCTGAGCTTTGGGATGGTTTATCTATTACCAACAGTAAGAAAGAGGAGAGACAAGGATTAAGACCCCCAATTAGGAAAGGGGCTGCTATGGCGTTCCAGAGAACACGGAGGAAGGGACTAAATATGCCAGGAGCCGAGAACGGCTGTACATGGAAGTGAGAGCATGTGCACAAGTGGAGCATGGCCGCTGGGACCAGAGAGCTGTCCCAGCACGACCCCTGCAAGCCAGGCTCTGCAGGACCTCAGCTCAGAGCCCAAGGACCTGGACGGAATGCTCAGAGATCTGCCTTGGTCCACTTGACCTCTAGCGTTTTTATAGACAAGCGGTAAGATACTGTGGCATGCTTTTGAATTCCCCCTAATCTAGGCTGAGCCAGATGACTCATCAATTCAACAAATATTTATTGGGCCTTGTGTTAGGCGTTTGCCTGTTTGCCCTCATATCCATTCCTTATCCCTTGTCCTTCCCCATTCTGTTTTGTGTTGCTGGTATGATTTGGGGTGGGGGATGGAACGCAGGGAGGAGAGCAAGCTGACCCCTTCAAGGAAGGTGTGATGGGAGGTTGGAAGGTGAAAGGAAGGGAGGAGCCATTGTGTTTCTCCTCCTCTCTTGTTTCCTGGGATGGCAGCTCCAGCAGTGGCTACATCCTGTCTGTGACTCTGGCTTCCATCAGACAGGACCACTGGAGTTCCAGCCCCGACAAGGTGGCCCCAGCTCTGGGACTCTGGCAGCTTCTTGTCTCCTATTATCCACTGGGTCTAGGGATGACCGCAGCCCCCTGCTGTTGCTGATCTCTGGGTGGCCCCACCATTCCCTGTTTCGCAAATGGAGGGACAGGAAGGCACCAAGCACAAGCACCTTCAGGCACAGTGTTATCCGTGCAGTTTGGAGGGCAGGAGAATCACATCAGGGTGAACCTACTATATACTCCAGCAAAGGCAAAACTCCTGGGGTCTCTGTGTGGATTCCTGGCAAGACACAGCCTAGGTAGCTGTCCATGGCTCACCTCTGTGCCCGGGTTCCCATCCGGCACTCCAGAGGGCCACCTGCCCGCCCTAGAATCATTTATCCATAGTTGGATCGTGACGATCCATTAAAACGACTCCATTTGGATAATGAGCTGGATGGGGCCAGCCCTGTCTACACCTCCAGAGGCCCTGGATCTGTGTCATGTGAACCATCCCGCTGGCAGGTTTGTTTGCACACCCGAGAATGTATTGGCCCCTTGAATCTGTTATAAATTACCAGTCTGGAAATAAATATCGTATCTGGGTCCCCAGTAAGTAACAGATGCATGAGTGCAGAGTGAGATAAATGCATTTTGGACGCAAACTTCTTTCCCATTGCTCACAGACAGATGGAGGCAGGCCCAGTGCTGGTTTGCAGTCGATCCGCGTGCTGTGTAGGTGGGACTTAAATGAACTCAAAGTTCTTTTAAGGTTAGGAAGTTTTCTGTACCAGCTCCTGGCAAATCCCCAGAGGAGCCCCAGTTGAGCAGTACATTTCCTTTTATCTCCATTGCTGAAGAGTCTTGCGGTTAGAATGTTTTCTCTTCAGGGACTGTATGGGTTCTTGGAGGCCAGAGAGGGTCCCTGTCCTCGAATGCCACGCAGCACGCATGCACTCATTTGGTATGCATTCATCAAGGCTGATGGCCCAGGCCGACTCCTCCGTGCTAGGGACACAGCCATGAGCAAGCCTGTTACAGCCCTGCCCTGTTGGACCACACAGCCTACAAGGGACAAAGCCAGGATTCACACCCAGGCAGTTAAGTCCAAAGTCCACACACATAGCCACCATGCTCTGCTGCCTTTCTAGTTGGTCTCTCAAGGGCTTGTTTATTGGGCATTTGGTCTGAGTTTCACACTGTGCTAGGCTCCACAGAAAGTTTTTTTAAAACTTAGGAGGCAGTTGTTTGTCCTCAAGAGGCTGACAACCTCACTAGGAAGACAGGACCACTCGCAGAGTTTAGGTGGGGCTGTTGATTCCCGGCGGTTGATCCAACCGTGCTAGCCATGACATTGGCCTTGGGCTGGCACTGATGATCAACCCAGGAACCCCTAGAATATGCCTAGTAATTAGAAAGCACCTTCTAAACAGTTATGGAGCAGGTGGAAGACTGAGAAATGCCCAGGAGACTCAGAAACGAATCTTTGAGCAGAGAGGAGACCCAGAACTTCAGAGATACCACATCTGTTTCTCCGTAATCCACACAGATGGCCATTCTGGTTTATTTCCCGAAGAAGAGGACCTTGAGGCAGCTTAGCCACCTCGACAGAACGGAAAGACTCATCATTGTTTAAGACAAACATAGGTGTTCATCAAACTTTAGGGCTTGTTTTCTTCTGAGACTGTTAGCTCTAAAAGAGAGTGTTGATCTCAGGACCATCAACAAACTCTCCACCAACAGGCTCCATAATTGGCATCTGTATTTTTTAAATGTATCCATTCATTTGTTTACTCGGGGAGTCATTCAGTAAAAACTTATTGTATTCAGTGTTAATGTACTAAATGGAGATTGGTCTCCAAAAGGCACACTTCTACCCAATATGATACACTTCCTCTCTGTAACAAGACAGGGGGCCCTCGGTGCCTACCACCCACAGGCAAAAGAAAAGATCACCTTCAGCCTTTCCCCAGTGGTGAGGGTTATGGGGCACCAGCAGGGCCTATCAAGGACTCCGAAATGCACAGGGAAATCAGAAAGTGGCTTTGTCCGTCTCCAGGTCACACCTACATGGGGTCCTCCCCAGGGAACGGGACTTCAGTTCCAAGCTCAGTCAGTGTGGCTTCCTTCCCAGTTTTCTACCTCTGATTGTTACTCATGCAAGGAGCCAACAGTGCAATTGTTTTCTTCTCTCGGGTGTCCTACCAGGCTTTGAACAGTGTGCTGCCTGTAATCGTGGCTCGGGGAAGACTTGGTGGTGGCTGATGTCCCAAAGAAACCTGAAAATCCCTTCTCCATCTCTTTCTGGGTGCATGGGCACAACTGATGCCCAGCCAGTTTGGGCTCACAGTCCAGGGCTCCAAAGCAAGCCTGTCTGGGCCCCTCCCAAGACACTGCAGTAACTGCTGTCACTTACTGGTTGACGAAGCATTTTACCTGCAGTATCTTATTTCATGTTGCCACTTTTCTGGGAAATGTCTAATGCTAGTCTCATTTTGCTTGTGAGGAAGCCAAGCCTTGAGAAGGATACTTATTCATGTTGTGCTTTTTGAAAACTCAGACTGGAGGCCCCTCACTGTGCTTTTCTCCTGTTATCCAGGGGTACCATCGACCTAGGCACTACATCGCAACTCAAGGTAAGTGCCCTCCTCTTCCTCCGAAGGGCCCTTGCCTTGCACTGGAGGAGAGGAATGAGCTTCTGCTGGCAAAGAAGTCACATAGGAGCAGCGTTGGAGAGCCTGCAGAGGGCTCGAGACTGTTCATTTGTTTGTTTGGGAAGGAAGGTGGTGACAAGGTCGGTGATGGTGGGGGGGGGGGTTAAGGTGAGTGAGAGAGGAAGGAGGTGTCACCAGGAAATGATCAGGAGAGACGGCCCAGAGGGGCAGACCCAAAGCATCGGCCTCAGGCTTGTGCCATCAGTGTCCACCATCCAGAAGCGGAGCTGGTGTTACCTAATCTCCTCAGTGGGTGTGTGCCCAGGAGAGAGAGGCAGCCAGCTATCCTGGAAAGCCACTTACCAGGATGTTATCAGAAGGCTTAAAAATGACTGTACCTCTCAAACGGTTCTGGGAGGAAATCCTGTGGATAATTATGTATGTGGACAGTAACATATGTAAAGATACTCTGTACAGTGTTATCTATAATAGGAAAAAGGTGAAAAGTCTTAAATGCCCAAACAAGTGGTAGATTGGTTACAGTGTGATATTTCCACATTATGAAAAATTATGCAGCTATGAAAAATGTCATGGTTGGTAAGAAGTTTTAAGAGCATGGGAAAATACATATAATATATACATATATATATAATGCTTATTACAGTAAATAAATACATATATACATATATACACGCACACACAGAAAAATGGCATTCAAAATTTTGTATCAAATACACATATTACTCTTATAATTTTTAAAATGATGAAGGCCCTGGATATTGAAAGAGAAATTTCTAAGGAAATTGCTTTGGACTCTCAGATCCTATCTCCCATTTCTTGTCTGTTTTTTTTCTCCTTTCTGTCCGGGCTCCAGACAAATGCATTTGTCAAGCTCAAAACTGGGCATCTTCTGTTTATGGTCTCAATATCTGGCCCCTGGCAGCTCCTCTGCCCTCCTACTCCCTCACCCCAATTTCCTTCCTCTTTCTCATTGAGGTTCTGGAGCCCAATTTTTGGAAACTCCCTGAAGCTGTATTATTAACCCCTAATACCAAGTGATGGGTCAGTGGGAAGGCGGGGCTGGAGGAAGGGGTCTGAGCAAGGGGAGGAAGAGAAGAAGCTGCAAGCATTTCCAGTGGGTGCTGCGGACCCTGCACTGGGATGTGGCTTTTCTCTTGCACACTCTGACCTCACACGCCCCTGGCCCAGTCTCAGCTAGGATCCCATCAAGGATTGCTGACCTCATTCGTGCTCACCCATCTAGAGCCGATCAGTGGAGAGAGAAACAAGTCTCACTTTCTTGCAGTTGCAGTCTTTGACCCTGTCACTGTCTCTGTTGGCAGGTCCAATGCAGGAGACCGTAAAGGACTTCTGGAGAATGATCTGGCAGGAGAACTCGGCCAGCATCGTCATGGTCACAAACCTCGTGGAAGTGGGCAGGGTAAGCCCCTCCTGCGGCTACCTGGACAGAGGATGCTGGCACTGCACTCCCTGGCATCTCTCTGTTTCCAAGTGGCTCCTGTTCCACATTTCACCCTCACAGCAGCCTCTGAGGGAGGAGTCCTCACTCCTGTTTCACACTCCCCTTCCTCCACCCTCGCCCTCCATTGATGACGTCATCTCACATGCTCGGAGGAAATTACAGCCATCAGACGTGAACACTCTCATCCTCACACCACAAAGCTGCATTCTACTTGTATCTACAACCATCTTCTCATTCCTCCCCTCTGTTACCAGACTGGACCATCAAAAAAGGGCTGTTTCTGTTGACCTTAAAAGGTAGAATATTGACTGTTTCTTATGGCTCATCCTAATATAATAGAAGTGACTCCTGTCCTTTCAAAGGCAATCCTATTGCCTTAAATCACAGATAGACTCCAAGAACTTCTCGTTCTCCCCTTCTCACTTGGAAAGTCACTCTCTTCCTCATTGCTAGATTACTTCCCTCAGCAAACAGCCTGAGTGCCTTCTCCTTCAGAAACAGAAAGCAGGCAAACAAAAGGGATCCTCTTGTCCTTGCTTTTCTGCCAGACTCTGAAGACACACGCGGGCCCTGGGTCCTCCCTCTTGTTTTCTTCCACCCACTCCAACGTAGCTCCTCCCTCCATCCCACCCGCAGTGGTACTGTCAGTATCCCCAGCATCCTTCATGTTGACAAATCCAACAGCCATTTCTCTCTTCTCATTGTACTCGACCTCCCAGCAGCATCTGACCCTTTGCTCCCTGACCTCTAAACCTTGATGTTCTTCACAGTTCAGACATTGGTCTCTCACTCTGCTCTATCTTGACGCTCTCCCCTGTGGTCCTTAGCTACTCCCAGGGCTTAGAAAGGGGACTGCTCTTCCCAGCTTGCTCTTGCCTCCTTGGTACACTGGCATGTGGATGGGTGGGCTTCTAGGTTGAAAGGCAGAGGGCGCACATACACTAGAATCGAGAGGGCCTCTCTAACTTATGTCATGAGCTAAGCACAGGGTGGGCAGGTAAGTTTTTGTTTTGGCAAGAACCAGATAACCCATTAAAATAGAGAGTCCTGGCCTCCCAGGCAACCAGAAGAGGGAGAATCTGGGCTGTCAGTCATAATTCAGCAAAGGGCTGTGGCCATCTCATAGCCTAATAGGAATTTAGGGCTAGAAGATACTTTATCCTTGAGCCCACTCCTAATTACTCCATTCCTCAGTTTCACAGATGAGGAGACAGATCAAAGGGGTGGAGTAGCTACCCACAAGTTCCCCAGCCAGAACCTGGCCATGACCTCAGACTTCTGACTCTTGATTCCAGTGCTCATGATCTGTCCACTCAAGACTGCTCCTCAGGGACTCGGACCCAGGGAGCAGCCACTGTGGACAAAAGGTCCAGCCCAGGGTTTAAGAATTCAGAGGCAAATCCCAGCCTGTTCTGTAACATATCTCACGTTGGAGACAGAATCCCTTGATGGGTGGGAGACAGAATCCCATGAATCTAGTTTGGATTTGGGGAGGGGACAGAAGAGCAGTCTCTTAATGGAACTTCTGCTAGGAGCCAAGCACTGTGCCAGACACTTCATTTTATATCGCAGCAATTGTACGAGGCCATGTTCCAGATAATTACTCACATGGCCTAGCTTTGCACCCTGGCTCCATTCCTTACTAACAGTTGACCTTGGGCAATTTTCTTAGCCTTCTTGTGCTTCTGATTCCTCATCTGTAAAATGGGGCTAATAATACTATCTACTTCATCAGGTTATGGTGATAAGTCATTAAAATAATCCATATAAAATATTAGTAGAACACTTAGTGAACAGGGTTAGACAGTGTGAGCAGTTATAAGTGTTGGCTCTCGTCATTAATAGGAAGCTGAGGCTCAGAGAGGTTTCAGCACTTTCTGGAAGCTACAGCTAAGAGTGTTAGAGTGAAGCAATGCATCCATTTGCCTCCAAAACCTGTTGCACTAAACCAGCATTTCCCTAAGTGGGTTCCATGGGATGCTAGTCTGCAGGATGCTTAGTGAGAAGAGGGTTCCATGGTTAAATACGTTTGGGAAATGCTGTGCACTCTTTGCCCCTTTGGGAGAGTCGGAAACCACTTTAGCGTTAGCCCATTAAACGAGCTGAGTAGTCCTGTAGCAAAGCGGCTATTTAATTTTGTTTAATCCAGCATTTCCCAAACTCATTTGACCACAAAACCTTTTTTGTTTTTGTTTCTTGTTTTTGTTTTTTGTTTTTTTTTTACCTAACACCTATTAGCACCCAGCAGGACACACTGTGGGAAATGCCACTCTAGGCCGTGCGGCGTCCCCCGGAATGGTAATGCTTTTGTTCTTTTAAGGGGAAAACAATGATCTCTTTTTCCTCCTGCGTTGGCATGTGACTCGGAGCCAAATGTGGGAGTGGCTTGTTCATGGCATCTGCACCCACCCCCCGGGCAGAGAGCAGTTGCAAAGTCTTCCCTTTGAGCCCAGCACCTTCCATCCTTTTCCCAACGAGGAGTCTTCCTCCTTCCAGCCCACAAGTCCCACCTCGTAATGTTAATGCCCCCCTCCCGGCCACTTCTGCTTCCACTTCCTCACTATTTGCCCCTCATTACTCTCATCTCTGCTCCGCTGATACCGCTCAGCTGCCCCAGCCCAACATCACAGAAAGAGGACTCA